GTCCCGCCTGCTACCCTGGGCGGGGCCTGGGGAACTGGGTTTGGGGGGTGGCCTGCTTCTCCCAGAGTGATGCCCCTGCTCTAGGATGGGCATTGGAGGGACGGTGGGCCTTGTCTTCTCAGCTGTCCCTCTCTGAACCCTTGACCTTGGTATAGGAATGATTTAAATTGTCATTATTTCCACTGTGGTTGACCGTAGCTGCCACCCAGTCCCGTGGAGCACTGCTCCCAGCTGTGGCCCCCTTTCCACAGGTGAGAACTGCCCACCAGGGGCCACCGTGCCCCACTAAAGCAGCCAGGGGAGGGAACATGGAAATCCCAGGAGAATCTACAAATTTACAAGTGGAAACTGCACCCATCAAACAAGCAAGCAAAAAGGAAACAATGATGTGCAATAGTAACATAAGGTAAGAAAAGGCCTCAAAATCAAAGTGACCGCAGAGAACAAAAGGATAAAAGAAAGAAGTTCTTTACATGATCTAAAATGCAAGCCCACTGTCACCCTTGGGGTGGCTCTCTTGTCCCCGGGGAATTTCCTGTCCTCAGGCCAGGTGTTCAGCCTCTGGAAGGCCTCCCTGCTGCCTGCCCTGCCCCCTTCAGTTTTGGCCCAAATGTGGTGCCTCATCCAGGGCACCTGCCTGCCTGCCGTGCCCTCCATGTGACAATGCCACAGCCCTGCTGCCCCCGCCACAGTCCCAGCCTGCCTTTTGGAGGCACCACCCTGCCCGGTCCATCACTCTGCCTGCAGCCCCATCTCACAGTGCTGCTGATGCATTGGTCTGCCCTGGTTGCCACCTGCTGTGGCTGGGACAGAGACGACCTGCTCCCACAGGGCAGCTCAAATGTCCACCCTCTCTGACCCTTTCAGATGCCATGCCAACTGTGACTCCTCAGGTACCACGCCCAGTTGTCCAGTCCTATGTCCTGGCACGGACAGGACAGGAGGCTGCAGCGGGTGGTCAGTGGGCAGCTAAATGGGCAGGCAGCAATGCTTGAATCTTGTACCCCTACCCCCATGACACACCTGGGCTAGGTTGGGACAAAGACATTTTCATCTTTCAGGAGGGGCCCTCCTGGAGGGACCCAGAGGCCTGGGACAGGTCTAGGCACCCACTGGTCATCCGGCCCTCAAGGGTCCTGAGGTCAGAGATGGGGTAAGCCCTGCCACAGGTGGTCAGGATGGCAGGGGCCTGGCCCTGAAGCCCTGGAATGCAGAAGAGGTGCAGGGGCTGGGGTAGCCGCTGACCTCACAATGGCAGGGTCAGCTGTCCCTGGTCAGCCCCCCAGTTTTTTTTTTTTTTTTTGCTGGAGGGTACAGGAATCGAGCCTTGACCTTGTTGTGTGAACAGCACGATGCTCTAGCACCATGCTTTAACCAACTCAGCAACCCAAACTCTTTCTAAATTAGGATTTAGATTGCACTGTACTAGAAAATTACTGCCTGTTCTTGGGAGATGTACTAGAGCTTTTGCTTATGCTGTTGTCCGAGATTAGAGAGAGACTGGAGAATCCACACAAAGAAAGTGGAGGTTCAGCTTCTCTCTTGTGCACAGAGGGCACTAAAGGGCATAGTCCCCGGCTGCCCAAGCGCAGAACGATCAAGTTCAAGGATGCTGAGAGGGGTGAGTGGTGGTGGGGCTATGGAGCTCTCTGCAGAGGCAGCAGGACCTCTCTCAGCTTGTGCCAAGACAGCCAAAAGCTGGGCAAAACCCTGATTCTGGGTTGGTCCCTACCTACTGGGCAGCTGAGGCCACCGCGCTCATCCCAAGGAGGGCTGGAGGGAGGGAGACCCAGTGAAGGGCTGCTGTACCGTACAGAAGGCGATGTCCCTGAGAACGTGACATCTGCGCAGAGCTGGAGTGAAGTGAGGCAGCCACGAGGCTGGAGGGTGGCTTTCCAGGCCAGAACAACTCGTGCAAAAGCCCTGAGGTCATAGCAAGTTGAGTGTACCTGAGGCACAGCGATGAGACTAGTGCTGCTGGGGTTGGGGGGAGAGGACCAGGAGGGCCTAACAGGTCAGAGGGAGCCTAGGGGCAGGCGGTTCTGGCCCTGTGCTCTCGGCGCTCCCTGGACTGGTGGGGAGAAGGGACAGAAGCTTGGCCAGGGGTGGGGTGGGGTGTGGGAAATGGCTGGGTTCTGGATATAGATTCTGAAGGTCATAGCTGGCAGACTGGGCATGGGATGGAGAAAGAGGGGCTCAGGACAGCTCAGGGTTTGACCGAGAGCTGGAGGGGGGCTGTCCTTGGAAAGAGCATACTGTGCGGGGACCCGGGGTCTTGAGGGAATAGGCTTCAGGAAGTGTCTGGCCATGCAGAGTCCCAGGGAAGACCCAAGTGGGCAGGTCCCTCAGGCCTGGCGCTGTCTTTTGTCACTGCTGGGAGACTGTGTGACATACTCAGAGGAGCATGTAACTACACAGGGGAACTGCTGGGACACGCCGACATTGAGAGACAGGGATAAAGACATGAGATGCTGGGGGACAAGCCCCGGGTCCCAGAGGTGGGCCTTTCTTGGTTGCCTTGGAGCAGCTTCTGTGGAGGGGGGTCAGGAGAGCCTGGGGGGTGAGTGGAGATGGACATCTCAAGGGGGCACGTCCCCAGGGAGAGGCAGAGCAGCCAGGATGCTGCTGGGGGTGCCTTGGGACAGGGCCCTTAGAGGATGCACTTGGGAGCTGAGAGGCGCTAGCCCCTGGGGAGAAAACGGGAGACGGGAGCAGGAGGGGTGATGCCCATGGGCAGAGAGAGGGCTTGCAGTCTGGGGCACAAGCTGGCACTTGGGCGAGTACAGGGCAGCAGGTGCTGGTGGGCACAGGTGGGATTCTTCTCTGATGTACCCTGGGCTGAGTCAGGATGGAGGGGCTGTGCTGGGGTTGGGTGGGAATGAGAAGATAGGATGGTCACCTGGAGCCTGGGGAGCGAGTGTGTTGGTCGCAGGGGGTCTGTGGGTGTGGACCCTGGGCTGGAGTGGGGCCGCGGACCAGAGCTGCTTCCCATGGGCTGCTTCCCATGGGCTGCTCAGAGCAGGCAGGGGTGGGGCTCCTGCGTCTTGTCTGTAGCGTGATGGTGTGTGGGACAGGGAAGGCGGCAGGGAGGTCAACGGCTTGGGGTCTGGGGCAGCACCACGGTGGGCACCTGCCACTCATTGGCGGTCATCTGGACGTGGCCAGCAGCTGACCCACAGGGAGTGGGTCCTGTGTGCCTGATTCTGGGTTGGTCCCTACCTACTGGGCAGCTGAGGCCACCGCGCTCATCCCAAGGAGGGCTGGAGGGAGGGAGACCCAGTGAAGGGGGCCAGGCTACAGCACAGGAGCAGCCCACAGAGGGGGCCCCGGGCCGCGGTCAGAGGCCGAGGAGCCTTGGACTGGTCTGAGTCAATCGCATCTCGTGTGTCCGTCTTTCCTGTGCTGACTTGGGCCAGGCACTGGGTCCACATCCTTCTAAACCAGTTTCTTCTCGTACCCATCGGCCCTTTAGTTCCGCATCACAGGGAGGAGGACACCGAGGCTGCCAGAGGCCACCAACCAGCGGGGAACCCTCGGCTGCCAGCCCCGTGGCCCCGGGCACACCTGGGGGTGGGTTTCGAGGGCTCCCACGCTCGGTGAGCCCAGGGCCGGCGCAGGCCGGGCGGCCCGCGGAGCCAAGGTGCCCTTGGACCGGGCTCGGGAGGGCGAAGGCAGGCGCGGGGCCCGGACCGCCCCGCCCCC